AAGTGCTTTGCTACTCCATCATCTACTTTCCAGCTTTTCATATTTTGTTGCACATTTTGTTTTCTCTCTCATTTTCCCCCATCTTTCCCTTCTGCCTTAATGAAAATGGAAATATGTGTTACAAATCTGCAATCTTTCACCAGAATTATTCATTAATATTTTACATTGTACATGTATTTTATGATTAGAAATGAAGAAACTTTTTTAAAGTAGGAAAGAAAACCCCCCAGCATTACAAACCATTATTTTTACCTTTTCCTGCAGCCAAAGGAGACTCTACTTAGCTAATTATAATACTGATAATAAAAGTAGTAATAGTGGTAATAATATAGCAGCTGCTCTTCATTAGGGGCTCATTAAGTACCAGAGACTAGCCATTATTCCCTGTTGTTTTACTGTTTCTTTTTCACAGACAAAACAGACTCAGAGAGGTTAAGTAACTTGTCTAGATCACACAACCTAGTTAAGTGGTAAGCCTATATATTAGAGAGAACAGATAACCATAAAAAAAACAGACAAAACTGTGCTGACTGGTTTAAGGCAGGCATCCTTAAACCGGAGATTTTTGCACTTTGATTATCTAAATATTGGGTAGATAACAATGTCCTTCCAGACATAGAAGTCAATTTTTCTCTATAAATTTAAGCACTAATGATGTTTATTTACCAGAGTGATATTTCATTTAACAAATAATATACTTTACTGATGGAAGGTGGTGGAGAAAGTCTTAGATTTTTGAACCCATCCAGCAAAGCATGGGTTAAACTGATGTGCTTTTTGGCAGGAACACACACACACACTTACATTTAAAGAGCGTTGCGTCAGCCTTCTCTTCCCAGCATTTGGATATAAGGTTCTTAATGTGACCACTCTCTTTCCACTTGGAGGGCCTTTGCTAGTGATATCTTGGCCTCTCGCCCTCCGTTGCTCACTTTTCTCTGAGGAGGGTGTTCTCTGATTGGTGCGATTGCAGAAGGAACTGGGCATGCCCAGTGCAGTCCCTCCTCTCTGGAAGCCAGCCTGTCTGCAGGGAGCTCCCGGCTTCCTCCGTGATGTGCTGAGTTTGATGAGGAGGCCTGCTGTTTGGAGGAGTGTGCATTCTTTTGGGCAAACATCTGAGCCACATTGTCCCATATAGTTTTCATCAATATTAAAGCCAACATTTGGCATGTGTGTGACTCACCCATACATCTAGTTGTATTTGTTTCCAAACCTGGACAGGTGAGACATCTTGAGCTCCTAAGAATCCCAGTAACTCTGCTAGTCGACAGGAGTTCGTTTTGTTTTGCATTTTAAGGACACCACACTACGTGGAAGAAATTACACCTTTGAAACATGCATGCTTGTCAGGGAAACTAATAAGGAAGTTGTTTGAAATTCCCATTTANGAGGGACTGCTGCTTTTGGCCAGGACAGAATAGAAAGGTTCAAATTACCCACATCACCTGAAACAAAAAAATGAATGAACTACATGAAGCAGTGGTCTTCAGAACAGCGGACAGCAGTCAGAGGTGGTCCCTGAGGAACGGGAAGACAGGCATGGAGCCCTGTGATTGCCCCACCATTCTGCCCCAAAGGGCTTCCAGGCTTCAAGCGGGCAACTGTGTGGGTGGGTGGAAAGGGGGCAGGAGAACCTTCCCAGGCAAAACCTAGCTGGGATCAGGGCCCCAGGGCCTGTTTTAGGAAGCGTGAACTTCCTCTAGGGTGAGGGCCTTGAAGAATTTTGCACTGAATAGCAACACGGTCCCATTTACCTTTGAGAGTGATAAATGTGGAATGAACAGCTTAACTCCAAAAGCCCCATAGTCTTTTTTTACATGAAAGTGTAGTTGATACACAGTATTATATTGCTTTCAGGTATACAACATAATGATTCAACAGTTACATACTTTATTAAATGCTCACCCACACTAGCACAGTTCTATCTGTCAACACAGAAAGATGTTAAAGAACTACTGACTGTATTATTCTCTATGTTGTACTTTCATCCCCATGACTAACTTATATTATTATTGAGTGGACAAATACCATATCATTTCACTTATAAGTGGAATCTAAGAACAAAACAAAACAGCCATAGACCTGTAGCATCTTTCTAAGTAGAGCTGCCCCCTGCGGGCTTCAGCTGCGTGCTGCAGAGGCCAGTGCTGCCTATTTGCAAATAGGTGAGGCCTTCATGAATCCAGTCCTGAGTGCATGACCGCTTGTCGCCAAGTCCTGAATTCATGACAACGAAGTCTGACAGGTGCTGCCCGTAAGGCGCAGGCTGTCCTCCACTTACACTTTCTGGGTCCTGGCTGCCGCCCCACATCCAGGTTCGAGCAGAATTGCTACGGGAGAGACGGCAGCAGCTGGAGGCCCAGGAGGGACGCTTTGCGGAGGCCCTTGTCTCCCTACAGTTCCAGAAAGCAACCAGGACGGTCAAGACCCTGTGGGCGTACACCGCCCTCCTGAGTGTCCAGGACCTGCTCCTGCAGGAGCTGGGCGAGTCGGAGACCCTGACAAAGTCGGCCTGCGCACGGATCCTAGAGTCCCACAGCCCGGTGAGTGCAGGGTTGGCGGGAAGAAGGATGGGTAGGAACGCCGCATCCGGTGGCTCCTTCCGGTGGCCGCCTCTGTTCTTCAGGTAGGTGGTCACCTGTCCCGTCTGTCCTCAGGGTCATGGTGATGCTTAAGGGAGGTACTTACAGGGAGCACGCGGCCACTCTTGCCTGAGGCTGCTCGATTTCATTCTCTCAGAGGCAACCCTTTTGAATTTAAACACTTCTAACATCTCAAACTGGAATGTGCATCCTGCATGCACATGGACAACAAAATGGTTTCTGTCATAGTGCTACGGAAAGTAAGAGTGTATCTTTCAATTAATGGTACTTTAGATGCAGTGAAATATCAGGTTGTTGTTAACTGTTACAATTCTAATTATTACCATTATTCCTACATGCTGCATTTTTTTCAAGGCTTGAGAGGTATAGTCATAAAACAAAAGCTTTGAAAGTAAGTGTTTTGAGGACTAACTTTAGGTCCCTTCTGTGTAGATTTTAGAATTTCCCACATCATTATTATTATTATAATACGGTAAGAAAGAAGAACTCCCATTTACTGAGGGCCAAGTGTGTTGCAGCAAGCACTGACAAGCTGGGAATGGCTGGGCTCTCCCTGAAGCACTAATAACTCTTAATCATTCATCATAAGATGATCAATTGCCTGTGATTAATATGAAGCACAATTTTACACTGCTTCACAATGTGTTTGTTGTCATTCCCCATATTACTTAATTATTGAGCCATTCTGTGAAGTAGGCACTGTTATTATGCTTAATTCTCAGTAAAGAAATGGAGGTTTGGGCAGGTCAAGGATGCGGGTCAAGTTCTTTGTGAAGTCCATGCGGCTAATAAATGCCAGGAGCTAGAAGTGCGATGTGTTTGTGACGTCAACCTGCTACATCACGTTCATGAACTATCCCAGCGGATCTTGCCAGCAGGGTTTCCCATAATTTCTTTTTAAAACTCGTAAATAACATTGGATGCTGACGAGTCTAAGACTGTTTTCCCCGTGAACATTATGCCCCCTGCACTATGACAGCTGTTTTGGGGGATAGAAAGGAAGTGGGTATTCCAGCACAGAGCACGGAGATGCTGGATAAATACTTGCTAATGCTTTGTGAGTTCCCAAGAGAATGTGGAAAATCCCCAAGGGCCAGGGATATCCCAGAGAAAGCTGACTTCAGAGGGAGATGAAAGCAGAGGCCGGAATCCAGGGCCAGAGGCTGGAACCTGGAACGCAGGACATGTGGGATGTTCTGAGGGTGCAGAACACCCAGAAGGCTACCTGCTGCCAGAAGGCCCCACAAGGAATAGCCGGCTCCCCCTCGCCCTGCTGCGGGCGGGGCTGCGGGGGAGGGGGAAGGAAGCGGCTCAGGAGGGGGATGTCTTCCTTGAGAACTGGTATTCAGAGGCTTCTGCTGGTGAGGAAGGAATCCAAAAGTACCTTGGCCATTAAGTCAGGAAATATCCAAAATGATAAATTACCGTGGTTCCAGGTTGGACAGCTGCCCTGGTGCACGGCCACAACAAAAGCAAATTCTCTCCAGAGAAAAATATTTCAGTCTCAGCAGCTTGGGATTTCTGCCAGTGAAGTTCAGCCAAATAGGAGTTCACAGTTAAAATTAGAAAAAGTTATTGAACCCATAAAGAAGCAGGGCGAGAGGACCTATTACAGGAACAACAGAAAAATAACATTAAAATCCCCCAAAGACTTGAGATGCCTGAATTACCAGCATGGAATATAAAATAATGATTTAAGAAATGATAAAAGATAATACCAAAATGATTTAAAAATTTCATTCACCCAGAATGCAGAGCCATTCTAAACTCGCATATAGGTAATAAAAGATCCAAAATAACAGAAGAAAAATTGCAAGGAGAAATTGGTAAGTCTGTCATCATAGTGGGAAATTGCAGCACATCTCTTTCCGTGGTTGATTGGTTAATCAAATGAAACACAAGAAGAGATATAAGTGAATTGAATACCACATTGAACAACCTGTATTTAATGTAGATCTACAGAATCTCACAGCCAACAGTTGATAAATATATATTTTCCTTCAGCCCACATTGGAACAGTTAAAAGTAATTGACTACACAGTATCATTTTGACCACCTTTTTGTAAAAGGGTAATTAAGTTTAAGTCAGGGTTTAAAAAGATTATTACCAAAAGCCCTTTCTTTGGAGGTCTTAAAGCATCCTTCAGAATAATTCATGGGTCAAAGAAATCATAATGGAAATTTGGAATATACATTAAAATTTGCAGCATTCAGCTAAAGCAGTGTTTAGAGGACAGTTTGTGCCCTAAATGAATGTATATTAGACAAGTAGAAAGTCTGACAATTAAGTTCACATTAAAAAGTTAGGAGAAGAACAGCATTGAGCCTGTAGAAAGTAGAGGGAAGGAAGATAGGATAAATAAGATAAAAAGCAAAATTGCCCAAAAAAAACCCCAAAAAACAAAACTACCAAAGAAAGAATAAAGTAAAAAGTTGAATTTTCTTAAATAACAAATATTTGGCCTTTAAAAAAAAGAAAAGACATTTTAAAAAGTGAGACGGGATAAGCAAATAATATCAGAAGTATAAAACAACATAACTATAGATACAGTTGGGTTTTAAAAAGTTAAATTCTGTGATCAAGTTTATGCAGATGAATTTGAAAACTGGAATGAAAGGGAAATTTTTGTAGAAAAATATAAATTGCCGAAATCAACTCAAGCAAAAAAGCAGTCTATATAATTATATTACCATGGAAGAAATTGGTTTAGTAGTTAAAAATCTGCTGACACGCACAGAAAACACCTAACCCTGGTAGTTTCATATAGGTGATCCCCACCAAACTTTAAGGTAGCAAATTTTTCCAATTTCACATACAAATTATTCCTGATGTTACAAAAATAGGGAATATTTCTCATTTTATGAAACTCAGATAACCTTAACACTAAAACCAGACATGAAGAGTGTGAGAAAGAACAATTAGATTCCAGTCCTTGAATATCTATATACAATCCATAAACAAAACATTATTAACATAATCCAGCCATATATAATTTTAAAAGTTAATGCAACGTGGCCAGGTTAGATTTACCCTAGGAATATAAAGTTGATTTAACATTAGAATATCCGTTTACAAAATTCACCAGATTAACAGATCAAAGAAGAAAAGAAAAAACTCATGATCATTTCAGTGTAACAGAACAAATATTTTATCAAATCAACACCCATCCAAGATAAAACTCTTAGCAAGTTAATAACAGGAGGAAACCTCTCCAGGATATTTACCCAAACCCTACAGCAGGTGTCACTCTGCAGGGTGATTGGCATGGGGGTGGGCCACTGCCCTGAATCACAGGTGAAGAGATGAGGCCTTCAGAGGGGCGGGTCCAAGGCCAAGTGTGAAGTGAAGTAAGAAAGCAGGAGCCCTTCGGGGTAAGTGCCCTGAGAAACACCCTCAGGTCCACCCTGAAAAGCCTAAGGGCCCCTTTTCCTTGAGCTCACCCTGATTTCTATTAGTAACTGGCTAGTGTAGCACTGGCAGGTCAGTTTTACCTGCGAGCCATTTTGAGTATCGTCAAAGCTTCCTTATTCACAAGTGTGTTTAGAATAGAAGCATTAAGGTGTCTGAAATTGGAAGCAACTGATAATAAATCAGATGATACTGTATTATTAAATCGGTGGTAAGGTGATGGATATGATGCCATTTTTTTCTTGATTTACATTTGGAAGGAAGACAAACGTGTTGTTTTGCTCCAGACATTAGACTTCTGTTCTGTGAAAACCGCTTTTCCATTGGGAACAGGCTTTGAAGCTGTTAAGCATTCAGGAGAATTAAAAAAGCATGAAATGAAATGCTTTGGAAGAAATGACTCTTAAGAAAACTGTATCAAATGCACCTCATTTGTTGAAAGATTTAGACTCACTTTGTGAAATTGGAACATAGATAAGGTATGAGTGAATCACAGTGCCAAGTGACAGTGATGGGCAAATTTAAATAGGACGGACTTACCTGTAGCAGACAGGGTGACCCCAAACTAACTGCACACACTGTATTTGCATTTCCATTTAAATTGCTTTGCATCCTTTTCCAAGGCTTGTTCCACTTTTCCAGGCCTGAACGGGCGTCTTCCTCGCTTTTAACTCCTGCTTACTGCCCACCTGCCGCTAGTCATCCAGTCTGGATTCTGCCTAAATTTCCTCACTTCTGATTTTTGCTGCCCAGCTTCACTGCTGTGATGAATCTAGACCCGAAAAATAAAGAAAACACTAAAAGTAAGTCGCTCGCAGCAGTTCAGCTCTCATTAAGTTCGAAGCATCATGTTGCATAAGGTTCAACCCTTCCACCAATCCCATGATATTTTTATACCCATTCTACAGATGAAGGGGTGAGGCCTAGAAAGGATAGGTCAGTGCACCAAGGCCCCAGAGTTGGAAAGCAGAGCGTGCCTACTCCTTCTGCCAGCAGAGCCCAGCTCCTCTCCTAACGTCACTTCCCGCCTCCTCCCTCTCCCTACTGTGGTCCCCTCCAAAATGCAGCCAGGGGACCACATATTTCTAAAAAATAAAAAGGATCACAGACAGTCCTATTCCCAGGTCCGTATTTAAAAATCTCACCACCACCACTCTCAAACCCTGCGGGTTAGCCCCCCGACTTTCTCGCTACTCCTGAACATGAGACACTGGGGCCTCTGAGGGACCTCTGCCTAGTAAGTTTCTGCTGCACCCCTTCAAATTCCCATCCATATTCTAAGACAAGTCAGAAGTTGCCTCTGTGAAGCCATTGTGGTTCCTCTGGGCAGAGTTGGTATCTGCCAGTTTTGCTCTCAACAGCCTCCCACCCGCAGCCTCTGCCATAGTGGACGATGGTCATTACCCATCACAGGACTATTTGCACAGCTGTCTCCCACACCAGAATAAGCTTCCAGAGTCTAGGGGCCCTTCCCATTCAGCCCTTAGTCCCTGTGCCCAATAAAAAGCTGGGATTGTCTGTCTGTTGGTCGATCTATCTAGTTTATCTCTATCCATCTATCTATCATCCATCTATCTATCATCTATCTATCTGTCTATCTATCTATCTATTGTCTATCATCTATCTATATCTATATCTGTCTATCTATCTATCTATCTATATATATATCTATATATCTATATCTATCTGTCTGTCTGTCTATCTATCTCCATTATCTACCCATCTATCCCCCCATCCCACAGCGCCTCTGGAGTGCTTACTGGAGGCGAGAGACCTGGGAGGTGGGGCCCCAAGTCAGAGAAACCTGAAGTCACTCCTCGCTGTGGCTCTTGCCCAGCACTTTGATTTCAGGAGATTTACTGCTATTCTCTGTGTCTCAGCTATCTTATCTATAAAACGTGACGGTAACAAATTCCTCCCTTCTGCTGCTTTGTGAAGATTAAATAAATTAATTCACATAGAGACACTGGGAATTGAACCTTGCTCAGTGCAGGCATGCAGTACCTGCCGGCTGCCATTACTAGGCTCATCCTCATCCTCATTCTGAGGGCCAAGATGCTGATGATGTTGGCAGCTGTTACCTGTTCCACAGCCAGGCACTGGTCCCTGCTGGGCCGAGGGGTGGACACGCCAGCTGCAGTCCCAGGGTCCCTGCCCTCAGCGTGTAAAGTCCAACGAGGAGAGCAGGCATTAAGGGAGACAATTCCAGAACCACGTCTTGAATTCCACGTGTGTTAAGTGGTAAGCTGACGTCTGGGAGAACTTACCATCCCCAGCTAACCTGCAGGACGCATTTCCACCTCATTTTCCCTTCCCAGCCCAGGCTAGCCCCGTCTAGGAAGAGGAAAGCGACACGCCAGCCCTCTGTGCTCTGCCTTAGTCTGGGGAACGCTGGCAGGAGGGGGTTCGAGCCTTCTCCCCTGTGCAGTGGGTTGGGACTGGCACCCCAGTGGAAGTCTGGTCTGTGACCAGGCTCCCAGAGGGCTGACAGGTCACACTGTTGGAAACTCATTAGCACTGGTACAACCTGTGTGTGTGGTTGTTTCCATTTGGGATGCTGCAGCCAGACCCATGGTCGAAATGAGAGATCTCAGCGTGTGAGAAGACCATGCTCGGAGGTGTTCAAAGGCTTCCAGACGCTCTCCCCACACTATGATCTTGGTTTACCTCTCTGTCCATCTTCCCTTCTATCTTGGCTCTTTCTGAGCCTTGGGGGGGCTTTGGGTCCCCTTGAGAAATTCATACAAGCTTTGGCTCCTCTGCGAAAAGTCAGCCCATTTTGCACATATCTCAGGAGGATCAGGAACCACCATCCCCGCATGGAGCCCAGCCAAGCTAAACCCCACCCAGACCCTCACGCACACTTAGAACACTGGCCAATCTGGCAAATAAAGGATTCAGTGTATGCATGCTACAAGGCTTGGGACCTGCTGCCTGCCTCCTACCCACCTGAGCAGGCTGTGGTTACTGCTTATCTGATTCTGGTGGCCTAAGAATGCAGATTTCTTCTCTTTGACCAAGAAGAGGCAGGATAGCCTGATGGCTAAAGATAAACCGTGGAGCCAGCTGGCCTGGTCTCAGATGCTGACTCTGCCACTTAAAAACTGCGGAAGGTGGCAAATTACTTCAACTCCCTCTGTCTCTAAATTCTTATCTGAAATGGGAAATAAGACTACATATTCCATAGGATTGTTATAGGGATTCAGTGAGATTAACACTGTAAAGCCCTCAGACTCGTGCTGGCAGGCCCTGAGTGAGTTCGTGTCAGCCACGTCGCTGTGCTCCAGAGCAGCCTCTGTCCGTGCTGGAGGCATGCAGATCCCCGCGTGTCAGGGACAGGCGCTGGCTGCCAGGCATTGCCAGGCACAGAGCTGAGGGCTGCAGACCGCAGCAGGGAGATGCAGCCCTGCCCCCAGGAGCTCACACTCCAGCAGAGCAGGGAAACGTACGGCTGGTGGGGGGAGAGGGCGTGTGGAGGCACAGAGGCGGGAGAGGTCCTGGTGGAGTCCGGGAGCTCTGCTCGGCCTGGCTGGGTGGAGAAGGCAGGCAAGAGCAGGTGGTGCCAGGCTTCAGGGCCATGCCCAGGGGCCAGACTCCCTCCTGCAGCCCATCTGCTCTGTGCTCATTGCCTTCCCCCTGTGTGTGTGCAGGAGCTCCAGGAGCTGGAGAGAAAGCTGGAGGAGGAGCTGGCACACCAGGAGGCAGCCCAGCTGCAGCGGGCTCTGGCAGGTTGGCAGCCGGGGGCAGGCGATGGGCCCGGGCTTCTGGACGAGCCAGAGGAGACGGATTCTGAAAGGCAGGTCTCTGCCGTCCTGCAGCGAGCCCTGAGCAAGCGCCAGAAGCTGCTGGAGCACCGCCAGCAGAGGTGAGCAGAGGGCCCGGTGGCAGCGTGGTGTCAGGCCCCTGCAGGCCTGGAGGCAGGCAGCCTCTCAAAATCACCTGGACGCAGCCCCCTGGGGCTCCCACGCTCCTGTCTGAGGGGCCTCTCAGCGCCCAGCCCAAACTGCTAACTTTGGAGCATACATTTTCCCTGACATCTTTCTATACTTCATTTTTTGAGTATCACTGAAGGTTAATGAGCATAGTATTTTTAAACTTTTTATTTTGAAATAATTGCAGATTCACAAGGAGTTGCAAAATAGTGCACAGAAGTTCCGCGTGCCCTTTACCCAGCTTCCCCCAAAGCTATGTCTTACGGAATCACACCTCACTGTCCAACCAGGGACTGACATTGGTGCAATGTAATGACGACAAGCCTTCTGAGATCTCACCATAAATGTAGTATTTTATGTCCTGCTTTGGCAAAATTATGAAACAACCCCCATCTTCTTTTTTGGTAGTTCTTTGCAATTTTTCCAATTAACAGACAATGAACCTTTGCCGATGACATTAAGAACTGTGGGAAAACATAATTTTCAGTAGCTTCATACTTTCCCACTGTGAATATAACGTTGCTGTGGAAAGGATAGGGTGCCGACTATATACACAGTGTGATTCCATTTTTTAAAACACACAAGCACATTTAATTGGAAGGAAATGGACACTAAATTGTAATGGATGTGACTTCTGGGTGGTGAGATTATGGGTGATTTTAATTTATTTGATTATGGTTTCCTGGGTAAACATAACATCAAAGTACAATTCAGTTCCATGGAAATAATTGTATGAGAGGTTTAATCATGTGATCAGAGATGTTGGCTTGATTTAGGCCAGGAGTTCAGGGTATATGCTACCCCAATGTGCTCTGTGCTTCCTGGAGGAAATTGTTGATGGGATCAAGCTTTTGATAGGAGTTTGGGTGTGTAGACCAGCAAGAATGCAGGGCGGATAATCCATGATGTGACCTTTATCAGCTAAGGGATCAGTTAGAAAGACACCCGCTGTGGAACTCAGGAAGCCTGATGGAGACCCTCGCTGGAAAAGGTGCCCCCAGCCTGTGTGGTCAGCACCAGGGCGATGCTCAGAAGATGGTTCAATGCTTCTGTGCACGAGCACATAGTGGACAAGGCCCCCAGACTGTAGTCTCATCTTGAGCACGGCTGTGACAGCTCATACTGAGAGTTTTCAAATCAGGATTCCAGATCACCCTGCAAAGCCACAGAAAAGTCTCCATACAGCTCCCACGAGACTTCTTGCTTTGAGGAGCCCTCTGGCCTGCTTGGACCCTCTGTGATACATTATTTGCCAAGTAATCTAGGCAAGAAGAGGTAAGCCTCTTCTGGCATCTCTTTGATTGGATTTTTAAAACAGTAGTGTAGATTGGATTTGTGATTATTTGTTACTTAAATAACTAGATGATCTTCTCATAGTATCACTTTATAACACAACTGAACTCACGTAGAGTTTATTTCCACTCTAGTTTGAGAGAGGAGCAAGAGGCCAGTGCTGTGCTTGAAGACCTGCTGGAGAAAATGGAGAATGACACCTTTGTGACCCTGTATAGCCAGGTGAGAGCATCTTAGCCGGTTCTGCTCCAGCCCTCGCCAACACGTCGCCTCGCCTTCTTCTCAGAGTCCACACTTCCTGGCCCGTAGGATGGGGATAACGCACACCTCAGGGACTGCAGAAAGGCTTTATAGAAAGGCCCTGGCACAGGCAGGCACATAGGGGACATTCGATCAGGTGTTAACGACAGCAACAATGACCACAGTAATTTTTGCGCCCCGGTCAGTTTTTTTGTGATTCTACAGGAACCCAAATGCACCTCCTCTCCCCAACCCTCAGTAAGTTCGATAGGCACAGAGTAGGTTCCAGAGGAACAAAGCTGGCCATGGAAATCGGCCGCACGAAGCGGCCAGTGAGATCACACCCCACGTTTCAGCTTCTCTGAGTTGAGATGGGCTGATCTGTCTCGTTCTTGGCCAGTTGGCAGCTCTCACCTCCCTTTCCGAGGTGGAGCCCCCAGGCTGTGTGCAGGTTGCCATGTGCAGAGTGACTTCTAAGTCTGTAGTTGTGTTTTATATGCATCCTGAGGTGGGCTTCCCCGCTTCTGTACGTACCAGGAAGCATGGTTTATGACGGTGGCTGATGGCAGTCACACACCTGGCGGGAGGTGCTTGCTGACTTTGCTTCGGGAGCTGAGTGATGTCGGGGTCATGCTCTGCGGGTCCTCCCACCTTTCCTCCTGCAGACCCAGCGCTGTGTCTGTGTTGAGGTGAAGAAGGAAAAGAACACAATCTCCACCTGCTTTTTCTTTCCAAGAAAGTAAACGCCCCCTGGTCGCAGCAGCAGATTCTACTCATGCCCGCGGGAGAACTGGCCTGTGCACCACGGCTCCAAGTCCGGTGCTTCCTCAGCCTCCAAGAATGGGGTCAGCAGGCAAAAGGGAGTCCTTTGATGTGTCCAGCCAGCAGAATTGGCCACAGTGTCCACAGGCACACATGGCTTCCCAGATGGCAGTCGTTTCTTACTGCTGCTCTAACAGACCACAGACACGGTGATTCCCCAAGAGCACATGTTTATTGCCGTGTGGTTCAGTAGTGAGAAGTCCCACAGGAAATGCAAGGCAGCTTTGCGTTCCTTCTGGAGGCTCTGGGGAGAAGGGTTCCTGCTCATTCTTGTGATTGGCTGAATTTGGTTCACTGCACTATAGACCTGAGGTCCCTGTTTCTTTGCTGGCTGGTCCCAGCTTCTGGAGGTACCTGCATCCCTTGGCTTGTGGGTGCCTTCCGGGAAAGCTGCTCTGCTTTTAAGGACCCGTATGATGATGAGGTTGGACCCACCTGGATAATCTGGGACAACCTCAGGTCAAGATCCTTAGCTTTAATCCCATCTGCAAAATCCCTTTGTCGTATCAGGTGACATTCGCACATTCTGGGACCAGGGCATAGAAATAGTGGTGGTTCATTTTTCTGCCAACTTCACTAAAAAAGAAGTCAAGGTTAGCATTAGCAAGCTCAAGGTCAGTGGTGAATCTAATGTGCTCCCTCCTGCTTGGCATGAGAGCTGACCTGGACTTGCTAGATACAGCAAAAGAACACATGCTCTGTGGCAGGACCCAGGCAAAGTACTTGTCATCTCAGTGTCAGGCAGGGTCTATCATCATCCCCCTTAAGGACAGGTCCTACAGAGGCGAAAGTCTTGCCCAGGTTCTGAGGACCTAGGGGGAGCTAGGATCGGAGCCTGCCTTCTTCCTACCCTGCACCTCTCAGAGAATTGCCTGAGCTCCGGCCGGGGAGGGGGGAGGAGCTGAATCACCATCAGGTCCCCTGTGCACCGAGGATTATCCTGGGCGCTTCTCTCTGCTATTCATTCAATCCTTGCAGAAAGCTGGGCAGTGGGGAGCATCCTCTCCTTCTTATGAATTGAGGAACCGAGGCACAGAGGTGGCGGTGGCAGGAGGGTGCGAGGCACACCGCTGCTCCTGGAGGTTTGGGGCTCAGCCTGGAGCCGGGGGCCACACCGGCTGCACACCGGTGTTTCCCTGCAGAGCAGCCGATGCCTGGCCAGGTCTCCTACCCGCACTCTGATCCTTTTTCTTCTTTGTCACTAAGAGACTTAACAGAAGGCCAGAGTGTCACACGTGGAATTCCATCCCGGTTCACTTCTGCACACTTGGTTCATTTAAATAGTGAGCTCAGAGTTCACCCTGAAGAGTAATTGCTGCTGGAGTGGAAGGCCTGGGCATCAGGGGCCAGTCAGGGGTGTTGCGGCTCTTGCCCTCCACCCCAGACCTTGTAGACACCCCCCAAGAATATCTACTCAACTGCATTTCTTTCTTAACAGCCCCTGTGTGTTAGGGAGGGTGCCCCTGAGAAACAGAACCTGTAAGGTGTGTGTGCATAGACAGGGCGAGCGAGAGATTTACCTTAAGGAATCAGCTCATGTGATGATGGAGGCTGGCAGGGCAGGCCGGCTGTCTGCAGACCCGGGAAGAGCTGGCACTGCCTTTAAGGCTGAAGGCCGTCTGCTGGCAGGGCACCCTCTTTACCTTGACAGGGTCAGTCATTTAGTCCGTTTAGGCCTTCACCTGACTGGATGAGACCCACCACATTGTGGACGGTCGTCTGTTTTACTCAGAGTCCCCCAGTTTAAATGTTAATCTCATCCAAAAGCATGACAGAAACATCCAGAATAGCGTTTGACCAAATAATTTGGCCTCAGGGCCCAGACAAGTCGACACATCCAACCATCCACCATCCATTGTCCGTCCACCTACCCACCCGTCAGCCCCTCCGTCCATCCCTCCATCCATCCCTCCATCCATCCGCCGGTATGCCTAGCAGGATGCTTGGAGTGGTGTTTGCCCGATGTTACTGAAATCTTTTCTGGATAATGGCATCTGGAAAAATCATTGTAACGTTAATCTTTGTGTTCTGCATTGCTTAAATTCCTTTAACTAAGCAGTATTTCGTAAAAACAAAGACAAGGATGAAATATGTCAAGAACACCCAAACAACAGAAATCCACGCCAAGTGCAGCTGTGGTGAAGCACAGCAGGAAGGAGGAGGGAGGCGGGAGGAGTCACAGCGGGAAGAGAGGGCCACGCGACAGTGACCCGCAGAGACCGAAGGGACGCGCTCTGGTGAAGGAGGAAGGGCCAGAGCCCAGGAACGCAGGCAGCCGCCGGAAGCCGGGAGAGACGGGATGTGCCCTTCTCTGAGCCCTCCGGAGGAGCCGGCCCTGCTGACGACTGCTCCCCAGCGCAGCGAGGCTGCCTGCAGACTCCCGTCCTCCAGCTCGGAGGGTAAACGTGTGCTGTTTAAGCCGCTGGGTTCGTGGTGATGTGTCACAGCCACAACCAGAAACTCAGAAATACCATAACAGCAGCAGCATGTGGCCCTAGCTGGGTGCCCAGTGTGCATCCTGCGCTGCACTTAAAGGTTTTGGAAAGTCCGAATTCTTTGTAAGAGGAGGTAACAGGAATTCATCTCAAACTAGAATGAATGGAAAAGGAAACTGCAAGTCCCTGGCTGTTCCCTGAAAGAGCAAGGCTGAGCCCCGAGGGCTTGAGCAGCGAAAGACCTTGCTGGGAATCTGCTTCTCCATCTCTGCTGTTTCTTTGTGACCACTACTAGCTTTTCCCACAGGAGGAGGGACATGGCACCTGGCAGCCCTGAGCCAGTGGCCTTTTGGCATCCATCTGTCCTGGCTTTGCTGTAGAAAGTGCTTCTCTCCCCCAGCTTTGCTGCATAGAAACCCCGGGAGGAGCTCTGATTGGCCAGGCCTGCTGCCCGCGCCTCCCCCCGCCCCCATTGCTGCTGGCCTTCCCAACTCAGAATGGGTTTACATGCCCAGCTCATTTGGTACCCACAGACCTCTTGGGTGAGGTATTACTGTTACCCCATTTTACAGATGAGGAAGCTGAGGCACAAAGAAGAATAAGGACATTGCCCAAGGACACCGTGACCCATCTATGCAGTGGGGCTGGGAAGTCAACACAGGTTTTCTGGGGTATAGCCTGTACTCTCTCTTCAGTCTTTAATTTTCAAATAATTTCAGGTTCACAAGAATTTGCAAAGCTAGGATAGAGAGTTCTAGCACCCTACCCCATGTTTTTCTCAGTTTCCTCCATTGTTGCATTTTACAAAACTGTAGAACAGTTATCAAAACCAGAAAAGTGACATTGCTAAGAAACAAATGTGTAGTTTTATGTCATTTTATCATGTGCAGACTCATGTAAGCAGCACTGCCATCAAGATATAGAACTATTTTGTCACCACAAACATTTGCCCTGTGCAACCCTTTACAGTTATGCCCACTCTTCCCTCCCACGTAATCCTGCAACCACAACACTTCTCCATCTCTCAATTTAGTCACTTCTGGAATGTTACATACATGAAACCACACAGGGTGTGACTGTATGGAGATGGGCTCTTCCCACGTGGCATAATGCCCTTGAAATCCACCCAGTTCTTCCTTTTTGTTGCAGAGCAGAATTCTGCAGTGTGGCCATAGCATCATTTCCTTAACCACCCCTAGGCTGGGGACATTGCCAAGCCTGTGCTGGGCCCTGCTGCGGGCCAGAGCCTTAGCGGTGGCCAGGGGGTCGGGAGTAGCTTGGAGGGGTGGATGAGTCTTAGGAAACATCCTGGGGAGCAAGCGTTGCTGACCAAACAGGTTTTTTTGGAAAGCTCTGTGAACCTTGGGAGCATGTTTCAGACTGAGCGACTAAGATATTTCTCTCCCTGGGACAAAAGGTCCTCGTACTGTCGTGCATGGAAACTTGTGCGGCGAGGGTGGAGCGCGAGGGCCTGAGCTCGCTGCCTTGCCCCCACTAGGAGCTGAGACTGGCGTCCTACCTGGCCCGGCTGACCATGGTGCCCGGGGGCACGCTGCGCCGGCTCCTGAGCGTGGCTCTGCCTGCGGCCTCGCTGCCCGAGCTCCTGGCCGTGCTGGACTCCCTCAGCCAGAAGCATCCAGACCATGCGGTGGAGAGTGACAGTGGCGGGGAGCAGGCTGACCTGGGCAGGAGGGGGTGAGTGTGCGCGGGCGGTCGGTCGGTCGGGGCTGCTGCTTTGGAAGCAGCGAGGAGCAAGATCCCCTGGAGTGCGCAGGTGCAGGGAGGCAGGACCCCCGCAGGTGCAGAAACGTTCTCAGGGGCAGGAGGCATCGGCAGAGCCGCCGTGACCCTTGTCAAGTCATGTCAGGCCCAAGTGTTCTGTCCAGACTGGTGATTTTTTGTCACCAATTTATTTTTTTAAGTAGAATCTTAAAATACATTTCCCCAGGCCATACACATGTCATACACATACATCAAGGAAAATGTTAAAAATACCTAAAAGGAAAAAGAAGAGGAAGAAATATCCATGGTCTACCACCTGGAGAAAATGGCTGTCAGCATTTTGGTTACAGTTCTTTCTCCAGAACATGTTCCTTGGTTGGATTTTGTGAGTGTGTGTTCTGTGTGTGTGTGTGTTTGTGTGTGTGTGTGTGTGTGTGTGTGTGTGTGTGAATCTGGAGGAATAAGTGTGCGTGCAGCACTTCCAGTATAAACAGCCTTACGTTTTTTTGAGAGCCTTTTAGCAGAGGCAGGTTCGCTTATTTCCTTTCACCTCCTGTCCATGTGCAGAAGTCTTTCCCCACAGTAATTACCACACCATTTAGACCGTCTTACCTGCTACTTTTATTATCAATTAAAATCCGTCCTTTTTGCAGTCACTGAAACACCTTCCTAGATTTACTTCGATGACTGAGAGTCCAGTGGGCTGTGTGGCCCGGTGTGCGTGACCTACCAGGCTGTTCGTTTGGACGCATTCTTTCCCCAACTGTGGGTGGTGCAGCGTAGATCCTTTTCTTTAGGATCTGGTTCCAGGTGTGAATTTGGTCAGCAAAGCCACAGGCACTGAGTGGGAGTGAGGAGTGACGCGGATTGGGGGCAGCCTGCAGGGCCACGTGACAATAGTTTGTGGGGGACGATGCTGCGGACGAGCCATCCGCGCGCACCTGAGGGCAGTGAGCAGCAGGCTGGAAGCCAGGGTCCGGGCAGGGCGGGGAGAGCGGAGGACTTCAGGCCTGTGCGAGCAGCGCGCACGTGCATCATTTTCCTGAGAAAAGGGCAGTGTCCTTTGTCGGAGTTGTAAAGAGGATCCTGGCGCAGAAAGCTAAGTAGCCCTGCTGGGGTAAGCCGCAGGGTGGGAGCGTGGGGCCTACGCGATGGGGTGGGGTGGGGTCCGCAGAGGCTAGAATAAGTCCATCGTGGTGCGGAGGCAGCGTGGCGGTTGCGTGGCTAGAGTGCCAGGTGTGGGAGTGGTCATGGCCAGATGTGGGTGGGGCTAGAGGCCTTGGTGTGGGCAGGGTCAGAGAGTGCATGTCACAGCCAGGGAGGGACCTGCAGAGGGCAGGTGTGGAAGGTGATCCTGGAGCAGCAATGTGCATGGCCGCAGGGGAGCTGCGTCTGCCTGCGGGCCACCCGTGAGACCTCGTTTATGGGGCTGCACCTCCAGCCGGGTCGGTGTGGTGGCCTGAGATGGGCGGGCCGACGTGGGTGGAGGCCAGAGCTCTCAGGGTGGCTGTCACCATGAGTGTGGGGCAGGAGCAGCCCTTTCTCTGCCCGGCCCCATGGCCAAGAGGACAGGAGGATTCTGGAGTCCCAGGCCACTTGCCATAAACGCTGAAAGCAGGGCAGTCACTATTTGTTTGTCCCAAGAGCCAGGTGTCTGGTCAGATAAACAGTACGGGGTTTTAGGTTTCAAAAAACAGGTAGACTCATCTCAGCAAGAAAAGGTGGGCGAGGGACCTGTCAGAATCCAGAAGAGCTGAATGCCCAGTTTCCGGGATGGGAGGGGAGTAAAGGGCATCCTCTCTGGGGTGTTGCCCCCAGGACCATCAAGTCTCTGCCCGGGAGTGAGGCCCTGGGGGAGAGGGCCTGGCCCAGCGCGGGAGGGTCCAGCTCCAGCTGCCGCCAGGCAGTGTGCACCAGCTGGGCCAGAGCAGGTCCCAGCTGTCCTTGTTGACTTCCCTTGAGCCCAAAGCCCGGTGACATCCTCTTGCTGTCCCGCATGGCACCCAGCCTGCCCAGAACCACGCTCCCTGGGGCATTAGGGCTCCCTGCCTAGCCACCTTCCAAGCTTCCACTGCTTTTCCAGCATTCTCAATATAGTCATAAAACACTGCTGGGCTAGCATGTGCACCGTCTCCGGCACTAATGTGCTGGTGAGTAAGAGACAGAGCCCACCCGCGTGGAGGCCCCTCCAGTCCGGGAGGTGGGCAGTCCTAAGCCAACATGTGAGCCTCCATGTGCACCCTCAGCTGGGAGGCCAAGACCCAGCTCCGGAGTCCCCACATCTGGGCAACTGGCCCCTCTGATGTCACCTGTTACCCTTTGTGACCCTTGGGCTAGGGCTCCTTGAGGGCAGAGATTGTGTCTTGACCAGAGAAGGTGGCTGATGAGTATGCACTGATCATACAGGGATCGTAGAGGGGTGGAGCCCCAGAAGGCCCTCTAGGATTATGGATCTCTTATTTAAAGAGTCTGTTCTTTTTGAAAACATAAGATATTCCCTCCTTGAGTTCAGGAAGCACTGGAGCTGGTGGCAAGCCTTAGAAAGCAGACTGCGTACAGAACTGATAAGCAGAGGATTGGAAAAGGTGCTCTGGGCTCGCCAGAGGAAGGAGAGGTAACGGTGGGCCCCTGCTCAGGGGGCCTGGGGGAGGTCAGCCAAGCCTGTGGGCCAAGATGGGGGTGGGGGGACCGGAGGGTTACTGCAACATACGATCCTTCCTTCCCTGAAAAATGCAATCTTGATTCAAGGCGGTCTTGGTTTAAAAACTCCAGATAAATCTGTAGCTATCAGTGGGAGAATGTACTCTTATTATTTATTAGCATTTTAATGGTTTCTTTTGACTAGTGGCTATTTTATGGGCTATCATTAAAAGGAGACTATTTCCATACAGCCATTCAGACTTTATAGTTTACAAAGCCCTGCCCTGTCGTGTTACAATGAGCCTGTCAGCCTTCTGGAAAGGGGGGCTAATCAAACTGGCACTCGGGGAGGTCAGGTGTAGAGGTCCCGAGCCTGCAGCTGATATATAGTGGCCTTGGGATTTGGGACCATTTGACCAACCCTTTTATTTCCCCGGAATTCCAGGCCAGTGTTCTTCTCACTCTGTTTTGGCTGTGGTTTTTGCATACCTGGAGTCCAGAGGAAAGTTAGGGGCAGAATTAGGTGTAAAATTGCGACGAACAGTTGACCAAGTGTGTGCAGAGCTTCCCACTAGAAAAGATTTGGAGAAAGAGTGATGTCTGGTAGATTCATAGTGGGTTAAAAAGTGATGTTCAGTGTGTGCTCTAGAGACAGCAGATGCCCAAGGGAAGTGTCCACACTGACTCCTGCCCCTTGCGTAATTTCTCAGAGCTCAGGTGAAGGTCCTGAGACCAAGCTTCGGGGATTATCCATGATAAAAATCTTGCAGCCATCGATAGTAGGCTGGATATCAGCATTTAGTCCAAAGAAGTTAGATGAGGATATTGAGCCCAAAGGAAGAAAACTAAATTCAAGGCATAGAACTGTAAAGTGCTCCACTAAGGAGCAGAAGTCAGTTCCTCACGATGAGAGTGGGGGAGCAATGGCGTTCCAAGCCTGCACTAATGTAAGTCGAGTGTGGACAGATCAGAAGACGTGCCAGCCTGTGCTCTGCCTGGAAGCACTGGATCTATGGTGGAAAGACAGGAGACCGAAACATTTTTGCCCAGATTCATACAAGCACTCTGACCGTGGCTGATTTCAGGCTAACAACATGAGGACAACAGGCTTGCAAAAATCCTAAGAATTTAGCAGTCATGGGTCGGTAAGAGTTGTCTGGAGCACACCACTGCCACAGGCTTCAGCTAATCTTAGAGACAATCTGGTGACCAGAGAGAAAAAGGCTTCCTTTAAAATGACAATTGTTCGGGGACCTCAGGAGCCAAGATGGGGTTTCTTCTGGAGATTCTGTCAGGATACTCAGGAGGGCAGTTGCCAAAACATCAAATCTGACGTTCTGTTTTTTCTTTAGCATATTAAAGAAGACATGCCCCTCTCTCAGAGAGAGGCTGACGTTCTCTGGAAAAGGAAGTTGGCCGCACCTGTCCCTGGAGTCCATCGGCGAGCTGGCCGCTGTGCCAGTTGTAGGGGCAGAAGCCATGGATGTATTAAACACAGGCGAGAAGCTCTTTATATTCAGAAATCCAAAGGAGCCGGAGATCTCATTGCATATTCCTTCCAGGAAAAAGAAGAAGAACTTTCTGAATGCCAAAAAGGCCACTTGGGCCTTGGGCATGGACTAACCCAAAGGAAAGCTCTAGGGAGTCTGAAGGCTATGGCGCATGCATGCGTGCGTGCGTGTGCACGTGTGTGTGTGCGTGTGTTTATAAAGCTCACAGACATGAACTGCACCTGCAGAAGATGCAGACATCCCCGACACCCATGCCTGTGACTTTCAGGGGCTCAGTTTAGTCTGGTCACATGAATTCCCCGATGGCCCTCTCTCCAGCGTCACCGTCATGAGGGTACACAGGTCCAGCCCCTGAGCACCTGTTGCTCTCAGTCCCACCTCCCCACTGTCTGGAGGAGACCCCAGCCCCCAGCTCACATCCCTGCCACGCCTGGCTGCATTGTGGCCTGTGTGTCCAGAGCAGGGCTCTCTGTTCTTATTTTTTGTCTTTGTTACATATTCTATTTTTATCAAGGGAACTTCTGAAAATAAATGCATTTTCCACAATGCTCTTCTCAATGGAACTCATTTTTGCTTTATGAAGGAACCATTTATTTTTCATTGCTTGCCATGTTTTGGCTGCATGTCGTGGTGCTCAACAGAGATTTGCCCTCTATCGCTGCAGTGGCCAGAGAAGGTGCCAGCCACTGGAGTATACTATCTCCAGTCCATCTCAGAGGCATTTTCTCTTTTTGCAAGTGAGGAAATTCAGGGGCTTTAGGAGGTGGGGTGATTTGTACAGGAGCATAAAGCCAATAAGGAGCAAAATCAGGATTCACACTCTTCATGGCCCCAGATCCTATCTTCTGTCCTGCTCACAATGGTTGTCACACCTGCACACAGGTCCTTGTGTTCACAACGTGCTTTATATGCTTGATCCTCCCCATCCTCACAGCAGGGACTGAGCCAGTGATGTCTCATTGAGGCCGGGCCAGATCATTGTATGAGCTTCTCTGAGAGCCAGGCAGAGCGCACAGTTGGAATGGGGCTTTCTTGTGGGTAGGAAATACAGGGAAGGGAATCCTGTCACCCACAGGGTAAGAAGAGGGATCCTGATGAAACATCTGTTACATGAAAGTTGCTGCTAGGCGTTTCTAGCTGGTTTAACCCACTTCTAAATTCTCACTAATACCCCAGCAAGTTATCACTACTCCCATTTGACAGCCAAGAGGCTGAAACTGAAAGAGCTTAAGGAGTTTGACTGTGATCACAGCACCTATAAGAAAGGAATCCTGGTTTAGTAACTGGGCCTCCTAACTTTCAAACCCTCATCTGCCATGAGACCTTCTGTTTCTGCTGGCAACCTGCAGGCCCAGTCTTTGCAGTTTCCCAGCAGTGTGCATGCAGCATGGTGAAGGGGACCTTTGTTGGGGCTTGTACTTCCTCAGTGGGGGAAAAGGGGTGTGCTGTGTACCATCACAGTGAGCTGCACCGTGGTCACCACTGCATTAGTGCATATTCATAAGTAAGCAGCTCAAATGTGGGAGAGAAGTTTCCCCATCAGAAGCTTCAGTGAGCAGAGAGGTCAGAGGAAGCAGTTATTTTCACACCCAGCCTAGTGGAGTGGAAAATGCATGATCTTTGATGTAAGAGGACTTGAGTTCAGACCCTTCCCTGCTGTTTGGAGCTGTGTGTCCTTGGGCAAATAAATCCCTTAACTTTTCTAAGCCTCATGTTCTTTATCAACAAAATGATGATAAAAATCCCTTGTTGTGAGGATTAGATGAAACTGGATTTATAAGCGTTTGGTGGTGGTATGGACCGGCCACATCTTTGTCCTTTTCTACTCCTTGAAGGTGACATCTACCTTTTCTAATAATTTCCTGCTTCCACAAGGGCTCTGCTAGAATTATGCATGGTTGAAAGTAGATTGCACACAAAGATTTTAAAAAATAGCTCAAAATTATGGGCTGAAGGCTGATTGAAGAGGCTATTAGCAACAACAGGAGGTGCCCACACTGTTCAAAATACACCATTTGAACCTAATAACTCCCTAATTTAACACACAGAGAAAGACTAAATTGTTGGTTTACTTTTTTTAAACTCACTGCATGAGAAACATGAAGACAGGTTGGTGAAAGCCTGTTCTTCCAGAATCGGGTAGGTCAGGTTGTAATCCTGTCTCCACAACTTTAGAGCAAGTCATTTTACCACTCTGAACCTCAGTCTCCTCATCTGTAAAGCAGGGGTCCTAACACCTACCTCAGAGTAAGGATGTCATAAAGAGTAAAGTACTGGGTATTATGTGCAATGTCCAATAAACTGCTGATGTGCAATGTAGCTTATTTATTATATTTTTACATATTCACAAAATTGAACTTGTGGTGCCATTCATTCCTGTTTTTGCTCTAGGTGAAGACTGATCCTTCTAGAAGGGCTGTACCTGCCACAGTACATGGAAACCTACTTAGGAGAGAGAAGCTCCAGGGAACTTAGATTGAGAGGAGTTGAGCTCAAGTTTGGGCTCCATTACTTCCGAGCTGTGTGAAGTTGACAGATGGCTAAAGCTATCTGATGCTCAGCTTTTTGGGGGTTTTGTCTTCTGTCTTGCAGATGGTACCACTGCATTAACCTTCACAGCTGTGCTCTCCCCTTCCCCTCCATTACTCCACCAGGGCATCCTCACCTTTCTCCTAGATGGTGCCAGCAGCCTCCTACCCTCCAGGATGGCCCCAGCCAATGTGTTTCATGGCATTCATGTCCATCTAAGCCACTCCCTTGCTGAAAGACCACCAAAGATTCTCCATTGCCTCCAAGACCTCCATGAATTGTCCTCTGATTGCCTTCCTGGCTGTGTCTGTAGGGGAGCCCCACTGTCCAAGGAGCCGATGAGTGTCAGTGAGACACCAAGGACAAGGCGGGTCTGCGTTGCCCCTTGGATCTGCAAATTTACTGTGTGGCTCTTGGGAGGCCACCTAACTCCTGAGACCATCTGTTTCCTCATCTTCCTTACAGAATTCATGAGATGACACCTATACTGTTTTTAGCACAGGGAACTCGCAATAAATGTTAGCTGTTATTGTTGTCTTAGACAGTTTTTAAACAGAGGAGTGATTTGTTCTAGAACAGTGAGGCTGACAGCCTTATGGCGGATGGACCAGAAGTAGAGGCACAGGCTTTTCATCGATCTGCTCCTCCCTTGTGCAGCCGCAGGCGGGGAGTGAGACGGAGACCAGTCCTGCTGCCTCACGTGCGTCCTGGCTTTGCTGGCCTTTGTTGCCAAAAGCAAGAGGCAAGCGTGCCACCATCAGCGGCCACAACGCTAACCCCAGAACTCCAGCGTTTCCTCCTCTGGGTCAGGCACTTCACTTGAAGTTTATCTAAATTTTTTCTAATTATCAAAAAGAGTAAGCAGAGGAGATGCTATTCTCATTTGACAATGGCAAGCTATGAAACAATTCACCCATTATCCATCACCATTTCTCACCTACTGATAGCACCCCCCAAGTTTATAGCACCCCAACTTAATTTGGACAATGAGCTCAGAAAGAGGGGGCTCCTCCCCCACCACAGGGAATAAACCATCACTGGTTCCCCACAGGCTGTGGGGATGATGCTAACAATCTCTTCTCTTTTACCTGGGGTGTTTAGACCATTATATTTAATGCATTTGTTGATAAGGTCATGGTTGTGCTTCGGTTTACCAAATTGCAATTTGGCTTTCCATTCTTGGATTGTTATTTATTGTCTTTTTCCTCCATGGCTGCCTTCTTTCACACTGAGTATCCTATGATTCAGTTTTACCTTCCCTATTGAATGATCATACCTCTTTTTTAGAGGATGCCCTAGGGTTTGCCAGGTACATCTTTAATTACCACATTCCATCTTCAAAGAGTATCATGTACATTCACATATAAGAACATGTGAGAATCTTACACAGTATACTTCCAAGTCCCTTTTCCATCCTTTCTGTTATCATTTATCACATTTTCCTTCTGTTTGTGTTAAACTGCATGTACGCTGATATTACTTAACTTTGTAGAAGCAATTACCTTTTAAAGATATTTAAAATTAGGAAAATGTATTTTATGTGTATGCAAACATCTACAGCTTCTGGCGCTCTTTTTAAAATGTAGGCCCGTATTTCTACCTTACATCATTTTCTTTTTACATAACGCCCCACAGTGTCTCTTCTAGTGTGAGTTTTCTGGTGAGGAATTTTCTCACTCTGAGTCCAAAGTCTTCTTATTGCCTCTTTTTTGAAAGGTGTATTTACTGAGCATGGAATTCTCGGTTTACAAGGTTTTAAATATTTTCTTTCACTACCTGAAAGGCATCACTCTGTCTCGAGGCTTGCATCGCTTTGGATGACATGTTTTCTGTGTTTGTTTAATGGTCTTCTCTATATATGTATGCTTTCTCTGTGGCTGTTTTAAAATTTATTATAAAAGCAGACTTTTTCTTTATCCGAAGTTTTCAGTAATCTGACCGTGGTTGCCCTTGTGTAGTTTTCTGCCTGGAGTTTGTTGGTCTCTTTGGATAATACAGTTTTTATCACATTTTTGAAAATTTTTGCCCCTAATGCCTTCAAATAATTTTTGTATTTCACCTTCTTTCTTTGCTCCTTTGGGGGCTCCAATTATCCCTGTGTTAGTCCACCGAGTGCTGTCCTGGAGGCCACTGGGCTCTGTCCACTTTTTCATTCTTTTCTTTCTTTCTGGTTTACTTTGGATACTTTCTCTTACTGTATCTTCAAGCTCACCAGTGTTTTCCTTTACAGTGTCTCTTCTGTTTAATCTACTCACAACCCCATCCGAAATATTTCTCACAACCAATATTGCATTTCCATCTCTAGAAACAAATAACATAGAGTCTTACATGTTATGTTGTAGCAGAATGAAAAGACTTGGCATCTCTGCCTTCATATTTCATCTGTCTCCTTTGCTGCCTTAATCTTTGGGCCCAGGATCTTCTGCTATACCCTGACCCTGAAGCCCTGCGCTTGGGCTGGTTAATCATCAAACGGAATTCTGCTCGTGACTTAAGATTAATGCCCCCAGCTTGTTACCTGAAACTCACCTTCCCCATGGAGGTAAAGAGGTATGTATACAAATAATGGCGGGATCGTCAAGGACTTCCAGGAACATCATAGCCTGACCTATGGGAACAAAATGACTGGAGTCAATCAATCAAGGACAAGGAGTTTCACCACCCTCCTCAGACCCTTGCTAACATCCGGATGTCTGAGGTCGGGTGTCACCTCTTGACCTCAACCCTCTCCTGCTCCCCCTTCCCTAACGTAAAAGAAGCTTGAAGTCAATGCTGAGTTAAGACGGTGCTTTAGGACACAAGTCTGCCATCTTATTGGTCTGCTGGCTTTCCAAATAGTCACTTTCCTTACCCCAACACCTTGTCTCCTGACTTAATTGACATGTCGTACAGTGAGCGGCACACACTTGGGCTCAATAACAATGGGTCCTTGAGAGGAAGACCGCAGAAGTAAAGTGCCATTTTCATCACATTATTTCAAGGGAAGATACCATTGACTTATCACTGTGAAGGCACGC